ATAGATAGATAGATAGATAGATAGATAGATAGATAGATAGATAGATAAAACAAAGTAGAAGAAAGTGTGGCAAGGCCAGAAGCAGTAGTGAGTGTGCAAGCAGTAAGGGCCAGGGTGAGCAAGAGAGCAGCTTCACAGAGAAGGCAGTGTGAACATGTTCAAATCATATTCTCACAGATGGCCTGGGTCTCACCCTTGAACACTCCCAGGATATCAAGTGTTAGTGGACACCCTGGAACTAATGAGCCTCATAAAGGGACAAGCGGTACCAATGAGTGCAAGCCAGTACAGGTGTGCCAGCGTGGGAGCATGCGGAGATCTTCCAGGGAACAGCTGGCAAGGGTATGGTCGCTGACAGCCAACAGCTGCTGTCTCCCTGCAGCCCACTGCAGTATTCACACAGGGGTGACACTCCCTGTGAGTCCCAGATCAGAGTCAGAGGATGACGAAGGCACCAGAGCAGGGCCATTGCTGTCCAGCCTAGGAGTTCCAGTACCCATAAGCCTGCTAACACCTTCTCAGAGGTGCCCTGCCTCCTGGTATTTCCCATCCCGTCCCTTTCTTCATTTTCCTTCCATATCACTGTGCCTTGTGTGCCCTCCCTACCACTCTTGATTCCTCTTCTTTGTGAACTGGGGAAGCAGAATGGAGAAGAAGGGAGGGAGGGAAGTAGAGGGAAGGGGGGTGCAGCAAGAGTAGATATTTTGGGCAATGCCTTTGTTTTGTAAGTGAGGAAAAACGGAGAATGAAGGACAGAGGGCATGGTGGGGGTGAAGTACCAGGATGCCATGCAATCGTGATGTAGGGAGAGTAAATTCCAGGAGGACAATCCTCTCCTGGATTCTAAAGAGAAATAAAAAGTGGTGAAAATTATTCAGCCACATGTTTGGTTTTGGAAAAACCAACAACAAAAAATGTTAAGCGAATGTATAAACAGAGACAGGGAACCATTCAGGAAAAAAAACAAACTAGTTCTCAAGCATTTTATCCCAGCAAAAGTAAGTTTCTTTATTTGTCCAGTTATTTACTTGCTTTTTGATACAGAATCTCCCTATGTGGTACAAACTGACCTCAAATTTTCTATGTGTGCAGACTGGCCCCAGCCTCCCTAAAACTGAAATGACAAGTGTGTGCCTCCATGCCTGGTGAAGCTTAGTGTTCACTCACTGCAAAACCAGTCATGCAGGTCTTTTCCTTACGGTTTGACCATCTAGAGCAAGCGTTTCCGTGGGTGCCAGGGAAGGGCATGATGTCCACGGGGGCAAAGGGGAGCAGAGGAGAAGGAAGCGAAGGATTTTTTCATCTTGATTTTTTTTAAGTTACAATAAAATAATGGGTTTAGTTAAGCCATTTTCATACAAATTTGACCTCATCTCATTTATTGCTCGCACCCACTGTCCTCGGGGATTTTTTTCTGAAAAGCTCTGACTGACAAGACTGTGATGTCCATGACTTCTCACACCTCACTTTGGAATCTAGGTATTTGGGCAGTGAGGGATGGGGAATAGGACTGCTCCTGAGAGTGTGGAAGAGGAAAATGGCATGAAACAAGACTGGGTAACTCAGAAGACTTTCTCTGCCATGTGGCAGTTAGGAGCCCTGGGTAAATCTTCAAAGGGAGGGGCAGGAACAGGACCTACGCCTCTCCAATGGTTGAACTTTGTAGCGAATTATAATGAGGGAAAAGAAGCAGGTGTGGACCACTGGAGGAGACTGACCTCAGAGCTGCTTTAGGGATCCTGCCCTCTGACCCAGGAGTCAGGTCACCCGACTCCCTTGAGTCCTTCGCCTTTACTAGCCTTGCTAAGTGCGTGTGGAGTCTATGCTGCTGTCTTATCTGGGCTATGAGCCCTTTCAGGATGGCCTGCCATGTGGTTAATATCGGAATCCCTGACTCCAGCATGGTGTCTGGCACTAAGCCACCGTCTGTTGGAAGCAAAAAAACAAAAACATTCAACACTCTGGAAATTTTGATCTAAACATTCGGGTGAGGAAAAAGAACCTATTATATTTTTTAAAAGAAAAATCTTTATTTCTAACCCTTTTAAAGTATATAATTCAGTGGTATGAACGTGCTCACCACCCACCCACCCACAGAACATCTCCCACCAGGAAAATCTTCCTTAAACACTAGCTCTCCATTCACATTCTCCCCATTCTCCCCCAGCCCACAACAGTCCCTGCTGTGCTTCTTGTCCCTATGACTTGACCAGTGAAGGTGCCCTTATGACTGGGCCGGTTCTCGAAGACTTTATGTGGCTCATCCATGATGTAGCATAAATCACAACTTTTTCCTATTTCTTACTTATTCATTTATTTATGATGCATGCCTGTGTTTGCGTGTGTGTGTGCGTGCGTGTGTGCGTGCGTGCGTGCATGTGTGTGTGTGTGTGTGTGTGTGTGTGTGTGTACATGCCCAGAGGCCAGAGGAGAATGTAAGATGTTTTGGTTTATTCCCTGAAGAGACTCTCACAGGGCCTGGAACTAGGCTGGTGGCCAGCAAGTCCTAATCAGCCTTCTATCTCTCCCACCCCCAACATTGGTAAGGTTGCAGTCATGTGACCACACTCGGGGTTTTGTTGCTGTGTTCATTTGTTAGTTTGGTGAGTTTTTTTATGCAGGTACTGGGAATTCAAACTCGGTTCCTTCTGTTTGAATAGCAAGTTCTCACCCTCTGAGGTGAAGAACTTGTCTTCCCAGGCCCTTTCTTTCCTCTTTAATAATATCCCCCAATAGAGTTATACCATATTTTGTTTATCTCTCAGTCAGTGGAATTTGGGTTGTTTCTACATGTTGGCTATAAATAATGCTCCTGTGAATGCAGATTGCAAACATATCTTAAAGATCCTGTTTTGAATTCTTTTGGGAGTATCTAGACTTCCCCCTCCCCCGCAGCTCTTGGAGTAAAAACATAAAAACACAGTCAGATCTGAAACCCTCTGTCCTGCAGAGGAGACAGTATGGTGAAGAATGCGGGCTTTGGGGAAGGCACAGGTTCAGGAGGAAGATGAAAAAAGACATAAGATGACCTGATTCCTTAAGTAGAGGGGGCTTCATCTGCAGACCAGAGCAGTGGCAGGAGAGAGTTGAGTCTGGGCTTGAGGGAAGGGAGGAGGCATAGCAGCTGCTGAGGGGACTGCCGCTGGAAGATGGCAAGATTTGGGGTCAGACTTTAAGGACAAGCCAAGAGCCCACTGTCTGTATGTGTTGGAGGAGATGGGGTGAAAGCATAAGAACCCCCTTTTTTGTATCCTCGCTGGCCTCAAACCTGCTGTGCTGTCTAGAATAACTTTGATCTTCTGGTCCTCCAGCCCCCACTTCCCAAGTGTTGGGATCACAGGCCTGCCCCACCATGCCTTGTTTCTGGGTTGCTAAGGATAGAGCCTAGGGCTTTGTGCATGCTAGGCAAGTCGTCTACCAACTGTACTATAGCCCAAGCCAACTTAAAATCCAGCCCTTTGTGGGTAGGGAGTAAAGAAAGCTTGTGGTAAGTGTGCTTAGAAATGATCCTTACAGAAGGCTGTGAAAGTCTGCCAGGACCCAGGCCGAATTGACAAGTGGTGGGCTGGGTCACAAGGTAGGTTCAAGAGTTGTAGAGGAAGGTGGGAAAAACGTGGATACTGAAAATGATCCAGCTTTAGAAGTGGGCCAGTGGCAGAAGGCCAAGGGAGGAAAGGGAGCTAAAAGCCTCAGAAGTGCTGAGTGTGGCATCCCTAAACAAACCCCTAAACAAACGTAGGTCCCTACAGAGACTCCCTGAGAAACCAGGAGGGGCACTGCCACAGCCATCAGATCATTATCTGTTCTACCAAACCACTCCCATTGCCTCCTGTGAGCCCACCTTCCCATGCTGCTTCGCTACTCCCAGACTGCCCATCTTCCTAGACACGAGGAACTTCCCTCACCATAGAGATCTCCTTACTGAGCTGCCCCCTTTACGCTGGCCTCATTGCTTCATCCCTGCAGTCACTGTCTGGCTCAAGGTCTGCCAATAACAGACATCTAAGACCTCAGAGAGTCCTGCTGGTGACTGCATGGGCTGACGGCACTTCTAAAAGTCCTCTACAGTCCCAGGTCATTGTGTAGCTGTGAGCTGAAGGGAAAGTTTCCAGGAATCTCTTCCTGAGCTCACTTTTGATCTTTTATTGTGAAGGAGGTGAGAAAGGGAAGGAAGAAGGAGGAAGAAGAGAAGGAAGAAAATGAGGAGGAGGAGGATGGGGGAGGAGAAAGAGAAGAAGAAATTGTTTTTAAAGCTATTGTCTTGAAACATCCACTTCCTCCATCATCTTCTCTTCCTCCTAGATAACCAACATGTCTTATGAACTGAAACTTCCTCTGTCTAATGGCAAAACTCCGTTCTTTTCCCCCTGGGATGTCCTGTTCTGCCTTGGTCCCTTCAGCGTTGTTCTTCTCTTCCCATTGCTCCGTGGGTCTCTGCTTTATTGGGGACATTGTTCTGTCTACTTCCTGCCCTCTCAAGGACATCTGTCAGTTGCAACCTGCTCTTTGCTATCTATCATCCCTTTTCCTTGCTTCTCTGGGCTTTAGGCTGCCCCCACCCCTGTACATTGCTGATGCTGTAACACTATATAGGGACCTGTTTGTTTTCCTAGGCAGCCTCTTACACTAGCATTTGCTGAGCACTTTTTATGGTCTTCCTCGCCCCCTTTTCTCTCCTTGCAGACATGTTAGAGACTCTCCCACAGACTGTCCACTTCAGAAAACCACTGCTTTCCTGAGGCCTTGAGCATCCAAATGAATAGTGTCGCACACTTGCAAATGTGCTGACAGCCAGGTAAACAGGCAGATTTCTGGGGCAGTGGGGCAGTGCTCAGAGGGTGTGGAGGGAACTAACTGTGTAGTAAGTCAAGTAGACAGTGAGCTGCAAAAGATGGGCTAAGGAAAGAAAGCAGTTATAAAAGAAGATGTCCTCTCAGTTTTCCCTCGGTCTGGAGGCGAGGCAACCATAGGCTGTGCTCAGAACCCTGCTGGCTCCGTTTCCAGTCTTCTACTTTAGTCAGTTCCTGCCAAGCCCATGCCTCCTGTTTGTCTCTGTAAACTAGTGAGATTTGCTGGCTTCCTGTGTTTGCACTCTCAGAAATCCCTGGGGACCTAGATTGTTTTGACTCTTGCCTGCCCCACATAGAACACCCCTTGCTAGCCTTGGTCCCGTCTGAGACTCACCAACAGGAGGCATGGTAGCCAGGCCTTCCCTCTCTGTGCAGCCCTTCATAAGTGGTCCTATTGAACAGGGCAAAGGGAAAGTCGAGCAGAGTTCCCAGGAAACATTTGAAGGATGCTTGTCCTTATGTGGCAGAAACAGGAGGATGGAGACTCTCCAAGAAAGGAGTGGAAAGATTTAGAATCAGTTCTTTGCAACACGAGCAAAAGAAGTAGGAGAGTTAACATGAACCCCAGTCGAGTAGTTAAGGACCCTGTGGCGTGTGCCTTCCAAGCTGACCCACTTGTTAAGAAACAAAGATAAAGCTTGGAGTCAAATACTGGAGCAAAGCCTAAAAGTGTGGGTGACTTGGTGGCCACCTAGACCCTCAGTTCACCGCTGGTTTTAATGTCACTCTCTAAACAGGAGTGCCCGTCTCACACTGTCATTCTTTTACTGACGTGTTGTACAGATATTTTTGACTTCAACTCCATGCCTGCTTGGTGCTAGATGCCACGGGGGTTGCCAAGCAGCCCAACCCAAGGACCTCCTTCGGATAGCTGCAGTCATCACAGAAGTCAGGACTCTGCTCCAGAAGGCACTGCACAGGAGCACCGGCTCCCACAGCTACTCTCCAGCTAAGACTCCAGAATCATAACTTCAAGATCTATCTGAGTTCCAAAGTGAGTTCAAGGCCAGCCTGGGTAATTCAGTGAGGTCCTGTCTCAAAATAAAGGCAGAATAGTTCTGGAGCCCTGTCTCGGCGGTAGGGTGCTTGTCTGTAACACACAAGGCCCCATATACCCAGGATCACAAGATGAAGGAAGGATGTGACCGAGTATGAAAAAAGTTAGTGTATCTTGGGGAGTCCCAGGCAGGTGGAGGGATTGCGGAGGGTATGTGACAATAGGCCTCAAAAGGAGCATGGTGGTAAGAAGACAAAGGAAGAGACAGTCCTCAGTGTGTGAGTCACTGAGTTCTAATCACAGTGACAAACTACACTTTTTTGTCTCCAGTTAAAATCAAAGGGTAGAGCATTTGCTATCTCTGGTGACCACCAGAGACGACAGCAGTTTCAACAACAACAAAAAACACAAAAAACCTGGTTTCTGGTTACTAGGCCAGGGCTAGGTGTGGTGGGGTGTATATACCATCCTTACCATAGTACACTTTTATTCTGAAAAACCTATTGGTTATAATCCATGAGATTAGTGAGTGAGGAGCTGAAAAGATGGCTCATAGGTTAAAGGTACATTGGAGTGCATTTTTGTTCCCAGCATCCACATTTGGTAACTCACAACTGCCTGTAACTCTAGCTTCAGGGCATCTGGACTCTCCTGACCACCATACGGGCCCACATGTATGTACACAGAAATAAATAATGCACATAATATAACATAAATAAAAGCAAAATAGATCTTTTTTTTATTAATTTTTAACAGAATCTCACTATAAATACTTGTCTGCCTGACTGGACTAGAACTCTCTATGTAGTCCAAGCTAGTCTTGAACTCCCAGAGATCTGCGTGCCTACTGGGACTAACGATCATAAATCACACTTGGCAAGATAAATATTTTTTAAAAAATTGGTAAATGAATGTTTCTTTATGTAGAAAGATTATTTATATTAGATACCATTTTTTTTTGTCTCCTCTCCTGAACTAAAGTTAACCTACAAATGTCTGGTCCCTGCTGTTTTTAACAAGAATACTTCTTTTAATTGTTGGTTTCTTTCCTGCAGGCCCTGTTTGGTTGAAATCTCAAGGGCAGGGTTTTGTGTTCCCTTTTAAGCTCTCGGACGTGGGGGCAGGGGTCTACAGTAGCCATGAGCCATGTGCACTCACTGAGATGAGTACATAACTCATGTACGGGATACATGAGTTAAACTTTTAATCTTGTTAAGTTTTAACTTATTTAAATTTAAATTTTTATTCAATCTTAACTACGCTTATAATAATTCAGATATGTGAATCTACTCTTCGGCCACTGTGAAACCTTAAATGTAGTTCAATCTGCACAATGAAGGTAGACTAAGTTGGCTGAGATTATCATACGTGTAAAACTATCAAATCCTGAATACCTGTGTGGAAAACAATTAAAAAGATCAATCTGTATAAAGGTTATTTGTTGAAATGGCAACATTTTAAATATACTTGGTCTATAAAATATATTAAAAATAATTTTACTTGTCTTTATTGGTTTGTTTTTTTGATTGTTTTTTGGGGTTTTTTTGTTTTTGTTTGTTTGGTTTTTTTTGTTTTGTTTTGTTTTGACCAGGTCTCTCTATGTAATCCTGGCTAGCCTGGACCTTGTGTAGAGTAGGCTGGCATCAAACTTACAGAAATTTGCTGGCCTCTACTTCCTGAATGCCATGATTAAAGGCATTCACACAACCATGCCTGGCTTCTTCACTGGCTTTTAGAGGTGGTCAATAGAAAATGATAAATCAGTCACACATGTGGCTTATTTCTCTTTCTCTTGGGAAGCACTGCCAGAATACAAATGGGTCACTGCAAATGTTTGTGAAATAAATGCATGACTCTGTCACATAAACTCCAGACTGAATCACAGAATTCCTGATTTCTGTGTCCCTTCTTTCCCATCATTCCTTGCAGCCCCTGATGTCGCATGTTAGCTTCCTGGTTATACGGGCATATTCATCTACAAGACAGGAACTTTGCTTCTAGGGGTAAGCTTTGAAAATTCTCGGAGAGGGGCGAAGGAAGTGGGGTGCTGGAGTCTGGGGAGACGTGCCTGTGTTGAAGGCCTATAAAAGGCAGGACTTGCGGGAAACTGAACATTTTGCTGGAGCAAAGTCAGGAGGTTAATTCTCGGGTAACCCTTGGTTTCAGAGTTTGCTGTTTCTGGTGACCACGGTGACAGCTGCAGTCAGCTCCTTGGATGTGCTCATTCTAATAAGTGTGTGTTTCATAAAAGGGTGGGGACTGTATTTCTGGGCAGATTCTTGCTCTTGTTCCGCACTGTCCCCAAAGCAGACGAACCACCTTGGCTGTGTGACTACATGTAGAGAACAGAGAAATGTCACCACACAGCCTGGGCACCACGAGGTGTTTCCTGGGAAGATCTGCTCTGTCTGAGCCTGCAGAGGTCACACGCCAGCATCCAGGGTCAGAGCAAGCCACTGTTCCCGATATGTGGAAAAAGGATACTATTGAAATGCTAATAGTGAGTCACTGTTGGTGAGGCTAGGCATGGCTTTATTGTCGTCTTTATACTGTATATTGTAGTCTTAAGATGTGTAATTGTTTACTATTTCTAAAACAAAATTTTAGGAGATATTTGTGCAGGTGCACCATTTCCCTTCATGGAGCTAATTTTGAGGTGTTCTTAACCCAGCCCCCCATTCAGCCTCTCTAGATTTCCTTACTCATTTTAACTTTGACACAGTTGACTCCATCTCAAAATGTGAGCCAGTTTATAGCTGTTTAGGAGCTACTGGATGGGCACTTGGTTCCTGGTGTCACGTGGATAGAGGATGTTCCTCCCCTCCCAAGCTATTGGGAAGATGTGTAGGGAGCCTGGGTGTGTGCTAGACCATGCATCAATGGGGTTGTTCACTCTGGACTTAACCCTCACAACTCTCTGCCTTATGTAGTGTTGTTGCTTAATATAATTAATTTAATGTGTTAATTATTTTATTTTATGTGCGCATGTACAGGTGTGTACACTGCACACCATACCTCTGGTGGTCAGAGAATAGCTTTGGGAGTCGGTTCTGTCCTTCCACTGTGGGTTCCAGGCTCAGACTCCAGCTGTCAAGTTTGTATGTCAGGAGCCTTTAGCTCCTGAGCCATATTGCCATCAACATTTCTTTTAAAAAAAAAAAAACTTTATTGTGTATGTTCATTGGACCCATATGGCAC